TATTACTAATGTAAAGCAGAAAAAAATTACATAAATAAAGAAAACGTCTTCATTTTGTATTGATTTCTTTTCTTTTATTTCCTTTCTGGTTATTTTTTGTGGTATCAGATGAAATATTTTGGATAAATGGAGTGAGTAGATTTGATGAAAGCTTGTTGGGATTCTTTTTGGAGATTCAGCTTTAAAGTTCGTGAATGGTTTATCACAAGCTGTTGAAGGATTACAATTTATAAATGATGGATGATATTAAAGGTTTTGATTTGCTTTCGATTGAGGTTTTGAGAAGGATTAGTGAGATTTTTGATTTCTATAATGGGTCGTTTACAACTGACGTCCACTGAAAAATAAACGTTCTTTTCCTAATGGGAGTTGAACCCAAGTTCGCATGTAATTAGAAAACATAAGTTCTCAGTTTTTACTTTAAATACTACTTTAAAAATTGCATTTAACCATAATGACAGATCCATCTACACTTGATGTGATGCCTTAAATTGTATTTTAATTAAATTCGATTATTGAAACTTAACAATCCACTGTCCAAAATTCCTCAAAAATAATTTAATCCACAACTTTATTTACTCTTAAAAAACATACAGTATTTATCACTTAAAGCACTCAAAGAACCAAATCCTCAACAAATATTGAATGAAAGAACAACAAGAAGTTAGACTTCACATGGAGAAAATTTATGGACATGTCAATGTCGATAGAAGAAAAAAAAAAGTTTTCTCACAACACACTGACTGCTTGAAAATCTCAAAGCTTATCATAACAAAAAGCTAGAATATAAAGAAGGTTGAAGTCAGTTTGTGAATATTTGGTCAATAAATTTTCCGTACATAAGAAAAATTGCTTCAATGCAAGCTTAAAACAAAGCAAAGAACATATCAGATTTCAATCGAAAGATTTTTAAATCCCAAAAGTGTTGCTGTTACGTTTTAATATGCTGTGTATACACATATGTACGTGTCACTAAAGTAATTAGGACTCTGTTCACGTAAAGGTCGAGAAAAATTTCACTTTTCTTTCCCTGTTGGATACGATTGTACATGATTTTGTGTCAGAGAAAGTGTGTGCGATTCTTTCTTTTTCTTTCTTGACATTGGATGAATGAAAAAAAAAATGAAAAATTGGAAAGCAAAAAAAAAGGAATTAAAATTAATGAAGAAATGCCAAGAGAATAAATTGAATTAAGTAATTAAAAATATTCTTTTTCTTTACCTCATAATCATTAGTCATTCAATTTATTTCAAAGCTCTTTGGATTAAGAGGGGGAATTGAAATTTTTATGAGCTTTTTGTGAATTATGAAAATTCATAATTTTGACTTTTATAGGTTGGTTTTTTTTGAAGAATTTTGTAAATGTGCTGTTATTAAAAAATATTCTATAGATTATCCCGATAAGTTGAAGTCTTAACTGAATTATTACCAGACAGTATGTCGTCAAGAAATGCAATAAAGTGCAATTAAATGAAAAAAATTTTTTTTTAAGTTTTTGAAGAGTTTTTAGCCTTAAGTTTGCAGTACTTCCCTATGAAGGCGTCAAGATTTAGCAACAGGAATTCTAACCAATTCAAACCTACTTAGACTTGCTTTTGGCTACTCCCATACAGACTAGAATGCATACTTACTTACTTCCTTGGCTTAGGCGCACGTGGGCCTATCGCCGCATTCAGAGTTCGTCTAAAACTGGCTCTATCATTAGAAAACTTCTGCCAGTTTTTAATTTCTAGCACATTTGCATCGTTGCATACACACCCATTCCACGAGTTCTTAGGTCTACCTCGAAATCTCTTACCATCCAAAAATTCAGCTGTTGTTACTTTCAGCACTGATGAGCCTTTTAGACGTCTGTAAAATGCTTAATAATATTATATTGAAGTTCAGGAATGTGCGAGGTAATTTCTGGATTCTCTTCACATCCCTAAAAATGTTCCTGCTTGAGTCGATATGTGTTCCGAGAAGAATTGAGACCTTTTTTCATAATAATAATTAACTTATGACATTCATCGAGCAAATGAGATTTTTTAGACTCCTTCCTCATTTTAGAAAAGTGTCACAATATCAAAGACCTTCCCCCACCTAAATGACAAGTCATTTATATATGATGTTGATTTAAAAATTGTCATTAAAATGAGCCAAAATTCCAGCTTTTACCTTGAAGGTACTGTTAAATTAAACATGTCTTTCAAAAATTAGGCTGCAATGGTGTAGCTTGAAAAAACAAAAAGCCACATTGCTACAAGCACACACAACTGAAAAATCCAACTCATCGTAAATTCTGAGAAAATAAGACACAATTCTAAAAATAACAAAGCCTTTGGTGTCAATAAGAAATCTCATGTCAACGTAATATTCTTATTTAAAGCTTTAAGATTGTTACATTTTGCCCTCGTTTTCATCTGAAAAGAGAACAGCTTTAATCATCAAAAGGAGAAATTTCCCTAGAATTTAATAATCATAAAGAGGATCGTTAACCCAAACAGCTGCATTATGATGACATTTATGATGTTCATTATTAATAATGAATTTCAAGAAACGACATTTCTTACAAAGTCGGAGTCTATTCATGTTTAGCTTTATGCCACACACTGTTAAAATTCATTTTATTTTGAAAATTCTCTCTTATCTTTTAACAACTTTAGCTATAACAATAAAAGGAAATTTTCTTCTGAGGTTTCCAAAAAAAATAAAAACTTTTAACCTAAAAGTCGCCTGAAAATGGATGAAGAAGAAAATTGAAAATGAAACTTTTTAAGTGCCACTTACGACACAAATGAATTATTATTTGAAAAGTTTATCAATTTTGTGCCCATTGAGTGACATGCCAAACAATGTTTTATATGATACAGCTTTAATTAATAATTTGGATGAGAAATGACGGAGGGAAAGCGAATTTGCTATAATATTTTACTTTTTGCTTTATTATTCGCAATGAGTCATAAAAAAAAATATGAAATAGAAGTTTTATGGTTGAATGAATTTTGTGATGCAAGGGACAGTAACTTTTGTGGAATATGCTTGGTTGTTTTGTAGAATTTTTTTTAAAATCTTTAGATTAATATATGAGACTTAATGTTAGAACCCATGTCATACACACCCGCGAGTTCTTAAATTTGCTAGGTCTTTTGAAAAACTTGGCACTATTTAAAAACTATCAGACTAATCCTCTGTAGAGTTCTTAATATTTCGTACAGCCAGTTCAGTCCTTTAGTCAGAAGGTTTTAAAGAATAGAGCAGTCTTTAGACGATCTCCAATTGCAGCAATGGAACCAAGTGCTCTCCAGCTAAGGAAGTAAGTAAGTATTCCTTTGTAAACTAGGCTTTGACAATTTAAAAATTGTTAAATCATTTTCAGGCACGGACCATACCTTAATGTTTTTTTGAGCAGAATGGTTGATGCTGGTTGCTGGTTTATTAGTATGGGTTTGGTTAGAATATCAAACAGCGACTCAAATCTAGTTATATCACGACAATAGAAGATAGAGCCTTTGCCTCAATCAGGATGTCTTACATGGCTTTGATTTGGACACATTCTTGCTTCTTTATCAATTAAATTAAAGGCTTGTCTGAATTATTCTGTAAATCCTATAACAAAAGTCATCAAATCACACCTGGAACCAAATAAAACTAGCAAAGAAATTCCCTTGATAATTTAAGGACGGAAGTAAAAACGGGATGAGAATTTTTATTACCAATTGTGGCATCTGTTTATCGAACAAAAGGAAAAGGAAAAAGAGCAGAAAAAAATGAAATACCTTATGAATATTAAATCATAAATGCTCATCCTATGCTGTCTCCCATAAATATTAAACAACAACGATGATATTATTGCACATTCAAAATATTTCTATGTGTACGTGAATTTTATTACTTCAGCATATACGGCAAAATTTCTCACATAACTTATGCGAATTATGTAACTTTTATAAATCATAAGCAGATTATGCCATATTGATGTAAATTTATGACTCTTTATGATCTCTTTACTATGGTCAATGCTTCCTATTAATAGTTCACAACATAACAATGTATACGTGTTCCTTTCTACACCGGTAATGGCAACAATAGTCTCGCTTATTTATTTGTTTGTGTGTTTGTGGTACATATCCTGCTCTTCGCAGCTCTTCCGCTGTTTGTAAGTACGTCATAATGTCATGTGCTTTATAATTTATGTGAGCATTTTCTGTGAATACGTTATGACTTTATTACGTGAATAGATATTAAAACTTAAGCATAATGGGGATGTGGGATGTTATTTCTTAAGGATGAAAAAGTAATCGTAAAAGATTTTTACGTGTGTAATTTTTTTCTCTCTAAAAATGCACTTTAATGTTGTATTTAGCCTATTTCTTGTGGGAGGTGATATTGTGGAATAAGTAGCGTATTGAGTGGAGAGGAATAGGCACCAAAAATTCATTTCAATCCAAAACTTTGAACGCAATTGAGATAAACTGTACTTTAAATTTAAATTTTCCTGAATAAGCTTCGTTTGGAGCTTAAGATCAGGTTACCTGAAGCGTAACTTAAAAGAACAGTAATTTTTTTTGTTACGGAATCAGAAACAAGTCAAATTCTCCGAGTGACATAAACAAAATATGATTTAATGCGGATGCCAAAGCACTTTTACGTTGCATGCACTTTTCACCATTCCGAGTCTCTTATACTGTCTTACAGTGTCCTCAAAAATGAGAAATTGGCAAATCCTGGCTTTACCAGGATGCTGTGTTGGTTTTTCAATGATAAAAATGTCACGTGGGACGTTTTCAGCGACGTAAAGCAGTCGAGAAGTCACGATAAAATGAGCAGTTGCTGGCACCACTAGGTTGTACCTATATTACTCATTTTAGACATTTCCATCTACATAAGAAGATATTCTTATCAAAAACCTACAAACATTTACATAAATTAAATCAAAAGTCACAAAACTGCGAAACAGCATTGCTGAATATTAAAATTTCAGTTGAATAAATTTCTTTTCATGTAAAATTAACATTTTTTTATTCACAAAACTTTTATGCATCTCATTTTTTTGTTATTTGTCAAAAGGAAGAACATAAAGCAAGAGTCTAACTTATTGTACATTATTTATTTTTCTTAAATCATAACGATACGACAGAATCAACATCATAGTCGACGAGTAGTGAGTCATTTTCATCACTTCCCTCATCAGCAGCCCTTTTAATTTCCTTACGATTTTTATCTTCTCGAGCATCCTCAAAACAGTCAAATATGTCATCATTCGTAAAACTCGTAACATTCATATTATTACTGTCTGCACTTCCATCCTCATCCTCATCATCGTCATTGCATAAAGAAATTGTTGTCGACGACTTATTCTCATCATCCGATCCAAAGCTACTGCTATGTCAGAGTTCAATAACAGTTTCATTTGCTTTAAAAGAAATTCCGGAACGAATGACATGATAGAATTTCACGACAGCATAAATTGCCATACTCTAAAAAAAAAATGGCAACAAGAAGGAAGAGAGGAAAATTAATAATAATTTTTTTTTGTAATGAATGCTTTTCAATTCAGGAAATTTGAATGTTTCGTGTTATCCTTCTTGTGAAAAAAAGGGGATATAAAAAAAACTTACATTAAAAATTGCCCGAGCTATGAAAAATATCTATATACATTAACCGTTGTGAGCAGTCAGCATACAGCAGTAATAAAAATCGTTTTTAAAAACAGCATCAGTGAATGAAAAGGGGATTGAATAAAAAAAAAGAGGAATAAGAATAAGTTAGTTGAATAAATGTAGATTGAATTGGTTTTAGAGCGCATTTTGTGCATTAATTTGGTTTTTGTTACAATTTTGACTTTGATTATTGACCAGTAAGTGCAGAGCTTGCAAGTGGTTCGGATTCCTCTAGAAACTGTTGGTCTAAAGTGTGTGGTACAATAGATTCTGTTTTAATTTGAATCGCAGTGCATTCAGCTCAAAAGGGTGGGCCCTCCATGCTTTACCTTTTATTGACCACTATTTATGAACAGCTTCCCTTTAGCATAGTATCAGACTCCTGCATGACATGAAAATCCTTAAAAACTTGATATTTTAAATTTTCTAATCAAGTTTTATCTTTGAATGTTTTTTAAAACTCCGTAAAGACAATTTAATTCAGTTAAGCTCACATTTTTGCATTTTGAAATAAGTCAGTCTAAATTTTTTACCATAAATACTAAAATGCAACCCTTAAAACCTCAATTCCTCATTTAACCAGCACAAAAGTATGATATAGCACCATACGGCAACGAACAACGAGTATTCGTATTGCAGTAGAATTAATTATACAAAAAAAGATATTATTTTATCATATTTCCTCTGATACTTACAACTTCAGCTTTACAGAGACCATCGAAATGCTAAGCAAAACCGAAGAGAAAAATGAGAACGGAATTAATTAAAAAACTCATTTCATTTTGTGCACTATGAAATATTAAATAACTTCGAGCACTTACTCCATTTATGTGATCTCGTAGCACATTCGCATAAACTGTACAAATTCCTTCTATTGACATAAACAAAAGGATTCCGATCATCCATGGTGCGATGAGTGGCACATTTTCCTAATTGTATTGGATTGTCATGAATTAAAAGTTTTTGATTAGATTCATGTTGGATAAAGAAACAAGTTTAAAGATTGATTTTGCATAAATATAAAAATTCAAATTTTTAAACTTTTTAACTTTTACGTCCCCAAAGTTATTTTTATAATCCCAAATAAAATTAAAAATGTGTGAAACTTCAGCACTCATCATAAAAGTATCATAATCATCAAGTATTTATAGAAAAATTTATGAATATTTAAATGAAAAACTTTTCATAATCATAAAATGCCTTAAAATGTGCCAAAACACCTGTGACTTTTTTTCCATTCACAGAAAGTTTTTTGATGTTTTTGAAAATGTTTTAATTAAAAATTGTACATAAATTTAAAACTTAGTGTAATTGCCGTAATTGCTGAAGTTTGTAAATGAGTTCTGAAGCTCATGTGGTGATTTTGAAAACTAATTGGAAGTTTTATCGCTTAAAGTTTTCAATTACATTCACACGTTTGAAGTCAAAGAAGCGTAAGTCACACTTTCCGCGTTGTATTAACCATTGATTACTTATTGACAGCAGAAACCATTCTCTCTCTCTCTTTTAGAGATTCCCAAGTTGAAATAATTGGCCCTGCCTAATTTAAGATTTTTTCACAAAATTCAATTTTCAATCTCTTTACTAAATTCAGCTACATAACAAGCAATCCTAATACTCACCGCATTTATTCCAATAAACAACGCCACACTCAATACGATTATTGATAAATGACTTCCTATAATTGCATAATAACTTATTTGAACTCCATAATATACATCTCCAAGTATCTGAGATTTTCTGGTATTTACATTAATTTGCCACGAGTATAGCAGCACTACAAGAATTGAAACGTTCTGTGTTCGCCATAGTCACGAAAGCATGATAAGGTAGAAAAGTTAATGTTCATGATTATTCAAGTTATATCCAACAAAAGAGAATTTTGTTTTGTTTGCTCTATTTCGACATACCAAACTATAAATTGCACTTGTTATTGCACAATGCTTTGTGTTGAAAGTTCGACATAGTCCGTTCCGTCGCTCTGGTCGATGATAATGGTAGAGTACTGTTGTTTTCATGTTTCTGTGTTCGGTCAACACTTATTTTTTTAACCTATAGAAAGCAAAAAAAGTTTTAAGAGTCGTTTTTTGCAATAAATTTTTTTTTCGTTCACGATTTTGAGTGTGAAAATTTATAAAATGTCAAGTTAGAGCACAGGATCAGAGATGTTGTTGTTGAAGTATAGACAATGATCTTTAAAATTTAATAACGAAATTCTCCTTATTCTCTGCCAAAGCAAAGCTTTTCGAAGTTTTTTTCAAAGTTTGAATTATTTACGTTTACATTTCAGGCTCACAGAATTAAACAATAGCGAGTAATTAAAGTATTGAAGCAATACTCAGTAAGATCAAAATTATGAAAAAAAAACTCTATTCATGTAATTTCCATTTCTTTCTGAATCATAAAATAAATTCCTGTATTTAATGAGAATTCCTTTTACTTTTGAACTTGGACTTTATTATTCCAAATTAATGAGTAAAACAAAAATACGCTTTACTTTCTACACTTAAATATAATTTATTCGTCAATATATTTCGATAGCAATGCTATCATTATCAAGACTTAATTGTTACTGAAGACTTTTTGTCTTCTGTGCTGAAATCTTGCTTTTTGACCGTTGAAAATTCAAAAAGCTTTGATCTAATCGGCTGCTCCCCTGTGTTAACAAGGTCTGGTCCTTTCTCCATATACAAGCTCTCCCACGCATCCAACTGATAGCTGTTCCGAACCTCCTTCAACAACTTATACGCTTTTGGTTTGTGCTTTTCTATAATGCAGTGCGCTGCCATCGCTGACTTCTCTTCTTCATTATTCTTAAGCGCTCTTACATGTTCCTTGATTCTTGTTTCAACTCTTCTTTTAGTTTGACCAACATAGTTTCCTGAGCAACCTCCACATTGGATATTATAAATTCCCGATTTGATTTGGATTGGTTTTCTCTTTCTTACTTGTCCAATGAGATCTTTTAACTTGTTAGAGTTTTGAAAGCATACATTCATTCCTTGTGACTTCATTACCTTTGAAATGTTACATGTCAAACCAGAATGATACGGCATAACTACATTCCTACTAAACGTCGAATCACCATATTTTGTGTCACTTCTTGTCATTGGACTCAACTTGGTATAATCCTTTCTCTCATGCCTTCTTCTATGCTTCTTGTTTAATCTGTGTACAAAAGATTCATCATATCCATTGAGTGTGGCCATATCACAAATATATTTAAGTTCCTTGGCTCTGTTCTTTTCTCCAATCGGTAAGTTCCACATTCTAAATAATGCAGACTCAAACGCTGCCATTTTATGAGCCCATGGATGATGAGAGTCTTGTGGAATGCACAATGGCGTATCTGTTGGTTTTCTGTATATGTCAAAGGATATAATATTTCCACATCTGCTTACTTCCAAGTCTAAGAACGGAATTTTTTCCTCAATCTCCTTTTCCATTGTAAACTTAATTTTATCATGAAGCGAATTGAGTTTTGTTAAGGTTTCTTCCTCCATATCCTTAGGAATCACAGCGAAGATATCATCCACATACCTTATCCAGACTCTCGGAAGCCAATCACTTGTCTTAATCTTACTTTCTTAAAAGTCCCTCATCTTTCAACTTCTTCAATTCAGCTTTGACTCTCTTCTGGATTACGTCAACTGGGAATTTACTTTTCGTCTTAACAGCTTCATAATTCTCTGAAGAAAGGTGCTCTTTGGCAGCCGTCTCATAGTCCTTTCTATACATCATTACTACTCCTTTTCCTTTATCTGGCTCCACAAACACACAATCACTCTCTTTTAGTTGTTTGATAATTTCCCATTCCTTGTTGTTAGTTTTATTAGACTTCAAATTGTTGTTTAAGCATTTGTTTACCATTCCTCTCAGATTCGCTTTATCCTCATGTTCCATTCCTTTGATTGAGGATTCTATTGCTACAATCACTTCATTCACCGGCGGATTTATCGGTTTTGGTCTGTATTTGAGGCCTTTATTGAGTAGTTCAAACTGATCAGGACTCAAGACTTCTGACGTTTTGTTGATGATGAAATTCTTGTCTGAATCTAATTGTTTGCTAAATTGTCTCATACCTTTTTGTTCTCCTTCTAGTCTTTTGAGCTTATTCTTGTGGATGAATCTTTTCTGTCTAGATTTGTAGCTCACTAACTGAACACTCTTGTCGTATATACTGTTCCAAATTAGTGGATGTGATTTCTTCATGAGAGAGAGCTGCAAGAAATACGTTTCCCTCTTTGTTGTCTCTAACCTTGCGTAATGATTGTTTACTTCCGTCTGTAAGATCCTTAGTTTGGCTTGATCTATAACTCTTTTGTGTCCTGGATCTCTGATTCTGTCACGAAAAAATCTTTGGATGAAGTTGGGAAAGACCTTTAGTTGTTTGCACTTCTTCAAAAACATAATGTCTGCATAAATTAGATCACTTTTTGTCCGTAATTTCAGGTAACGATTAATTTCCTTGTTTGTCGCGTTAACATTCATAATAATAGAAGAATTATGTCGGAAATTTGTAGAAAGAACACTAAATTAATGAGTAAAACAAAAATACGCTTTACTTTCTACACTTAAATATAATTTATTCGTCAATATATTTCGATAGCAATGCTATCATTATCAAGACTTAATTGTTACTGAAGACTTTTTGTCTTCTGTGCTGAAATCTTGCTTTTCATTAGATCAAAGCTTTTTGAATTTTCAACGGTCAAAAAGCAAGATTTCAGCACAGAAGACAAAAAGTCTTCAGTAACAATTAAGTCTTGATAATGATAGCATTGCTATCGAAATATATTGACGAATAAATTATATTTAAGTGTAGAAAGTAAAGCGTATTTTTGTTTTACTCATTAATTTAGTGTTCTTTCTACAAATTTCCGACATAATTCTTCTATTTTTATTATTCCATATAACTTTTTGTTGATAATTATGAATATTCATGACTTTTTGAAATACATTTTTTAATGAATGGAATCAAAAGGAAGTTTGTACACTGTGAAATTGTCGAATTTTTAATGATTTAAAGTATTTTTTGGTTAAATTAAAATAATTTGATGAATTTCAGAAATCTAAAGTTTAGAAATGATGATTTGAACATTAATGTAGTTTAAGTGGAATAATACAGAATTTCAATTTATCATCCACATGAGGTCTCACAAAAAGATAACAAAAAATTCACAGATCAATAAAAAGTCACTGATTTTATGTTTAAAAAAAAATGATTTAATTTGAAAATTGCAAAATTTTCCCAATAAGTTTCATCGGAAATTACAAAAAGCTCAAACATGTGTTCAACTTTTTTACTCAGCTTTGTAAAACAAAATTTCCCTTTTTGCTATTCAAACACAGCAAAATTAGATGTCTTCTTATTATTCCTTCTCATTCCACATGCTTCTCATTCACATTTTCAACAACACAGAGAAGAAAAAAAAATTCTACGTTAAAAATTGATAATTTCTTTTTAAAGCAACAAGAGACGATGAAAATTATAATTTAAAGTAAAACGGGTTAAGTTCTCCATCCGAGTTAATGATGCATTGCATGAAAAAATTCTCGACTATTGTAATTTACTTTAACAACTTTTCGTTCCTTTTTTTCTGCTTAATTACGTACTTCCAAATGCTATTAAAGCTGTCTTGAATGTTATTTCTCTTCTTATCACAGTGAATGTGCGATTAGAATTCTTAATTGTGTTCCTTTTATTTTCATTTGATGCTTTTATGCTTTTTGAGGAATTTCTGATGTTTTCTCAACTAAGCATTGAGGTGAAAGGAAGTTTTACATAATCTTAAAATGAAAAGGTTGCCAACTGGAACTATTGTTTTCAAAAATTAGAAGAAGGTCTGTTAAAAATTCAAAATTGAGACAAAATTTTAAATTTGGAACAAAAATAATTAAAAATGCAAAATTGATAGCAAAAAAATAAAAAAATTCAAAAAATTAATTTTTGTAATTTTTCCAATTTTTCAAAAAAATGTTTTTTAAATGAAAGTGAATAAAAATTTTGTTTGATAAACTTTGAAAAATTAAGCTCATCCTCATCGACAGAACATTAATAGAATTTGTTTAAATTCTATTCGCTTCAACTTTTTCTCTCAAACTTAAAAAAACAAGAATTTAATGCTTCAGTGGAAATTTAATACATTATTGATTATTGTCATGTTGACAAGATCCTTCGAAATTGATTGCTCCATACAATTTTTGCAATGTATATTGAAAGAAACTGAACAATCAGCAAAATGCATCGTCATTTAGCAATCAAGATATAAATAATTTTATGAAATTCATTTATCATGATTTAATTAAGTCGAGGAAACACTCAGAAAATGAATAAATAACCTCAAAAAAATTACACAAAAGATTTAAAAATTGAAAAAATTCAATTTTTTAGTTCAAAAATCTCAAATTTATATTTTTTTTATTTCCACAATATATTAAAAATTCAACATTAAATAATTTTTCACTTTGTTTCTTAAAATCGTTCAAAGATATCCTCAAAATAATTGAACATTCATCACATCACCAAAAAAATAAAAAATCCATCGCACCTCAATTTTTATTTACTCCACACAAAGAAAAAATCTTTTATTTCCATTTACTCGACACGTAATGTCATTTTGATTTGATTCCGGAAGTAGATTCAATATCTCGACCATCACCTCTCAAAAAATATTTATCGAATGATACAGATTTCATCGTTGTACTCACTTTATATCTTAACATTTTGTGCTTTACTGCCGAACTGAAATGATTCTTTCTTCAGCAATGAACATTTTTGTTATTTTTATTTTGGCATGGATGTTTCCTGTTAAGAATTGAGAAAATAATTGTGGAAATGCTGGAAAATTCTCTCAGTTTTTCTCTCGAATTTTTTTCTTTCTGGAATCAGTAATTTCCAATCAAAAAAATGAAGAGAACGGATGAGTAAAAATGTCATCAATAAAGGCACATGGTGTGGTGACTTGACTCTGCATGAGGATTTTTACCTTGCCTTCTCATCTTTGGTTAGAATGAAGTATTTGCTTAGCAAATTATCATGCTGTG